GAGGCAGGCGTAGAGACAGGTGCAGAGGCGGGGACGGAAGTACACGTGGTACCCATAGAGTCAGTAATCTGGAAGGAGACAGACACAGAAACAGGCATAGAGACAGGGACGGAGGCACGCACAAAGATAGGCGTAGAGGCGGGCATGGAAGTACACGAGGTACCCATAGGGTCAATGACCTGGAACAGTTGCAGGTTAGGGTAATTACGCGCGAGATCACAGATGGCAGTAATAGTTTGCACCATAGCACCGCCATTCCATAATTCCCAAGAACCAGAGGCACGGACAAGAGCGGTGTAGCGGCCAGGAGCATGTAGAATATAGGCACAAACGTGCAAACAGTGGTCCGGGTCGCCACCCGAAGGGGCACGCTGCATATCAAGCCGGTGCCTTATCAAAGCAGTCTCCAAAACAGAGACATTGAATCCCCCATGTCGAGTGTAATTACTATCCTGTGGGGAATGCAGAGTCGGGTTATCGCCATATAACTCACGTTCCCGAGCATCAAGATCGGAAGCAATGGCCAAGAAATTAGAGTGAGTATATGGTTCCCGACGATAGGCTTTCGGGCAGATGTTAGTAGCAGCGAGGCCACACAGATTCCCTGGAGGCCAGTCAGGCGGATTTTCTACAGAATCTCCTACAGTCCCCTTGCCAAGATCATCCTCGGATGATCCCTCGCCATCATCCCTCGTATTTTGTGTTTGCCGCGTTGCAGAAAGGTCTGCAGTGGAAGAGCGTTGCAGGCGTGGTAAGGATGCCTGGGGCGACAAAAGACGAGGACGGGATGTTGGGGAGGGCCGTGGTGGGGAGAATGAATGGGTTCTTCTTCGTCCAAGAACAAAGATGGAGGAAAGGGGAGTAAGCTGAGGTTGGGAAGTAGGTCGAAGTCGGCGTCTAGGACGGCGAAGTAGGCTTTCTGCAGGGGCAGAACATGATGACGGAGTCAGTGTGGACGATGTGGTTTGTGGATTTGGAAGAGGGGTAACGGATGGAGACAAAACCAGGGGAGGTAGGAGTGGTAGAAAGACATGGGTGGTAGAGTTGTCGGAAGGTGGGTAACAGATGGCGATATAACCAGGGGAAATAAAGGCGGTGAAGACGGGGGGGATGAAGTCAGGGGTGGTGAAGTGGCTGAAGCAGAGATAGGGGGGGGCAGTCATAGGTGAGACCTGAAGAGGGGACTCTGCAGGTGGTCATGCAGGCATGGTCACGGATGCCATGGAGGAACGCACCAAGGCCAAGGGCGACAGAGCAGCTGCGGATGCCATGGAGGAACACACCGAGACCAAGGGCGACACAACAGCTGCGGTGGCACCGGATGCCATGGAGGAACACACCGAGACCAAGGGCGACACAACAGCTGCGGTGGCACCGGATGCCATGGAGGAACACACCGAGACCAAGGGCGACACAACAGCTGCGGTGGCACCGGATGCCATGGAGGAACACACCGAGACCAAGGGCGACACAACAGCTGCGGGTCGAGTTGCTCCCGCGGAATTAATCGTAGAAGCAACCAAGGCCGATGAGGAAGAGGCTGCGAACCAAAAAGGCACAGCCAGGGTCACAAACGGCATGGAAGGGGTTTCTAAGACTGATGAGGACGCAGGTTCGGTAGACGCAGGTAATGAAGAAGAGGCTGTGATAGGTGTGGCAGGCGCCGATAATGAAGAAGGGGTTGTGACAGGCGTAGTCCGAGGACAGTGTGTGGATACCCGATGAAGCGGGTGATGAAAATATATATATATACAGGGTATCCGGCGTTTGGGACGGGCCGAACGCCCGAACGTATGGGAGCCCTTGGGGATGTGTTCGGCCGTTCGGACCGAACGTGGACCCAAAAACAATATATATTGCTGGCTTGTGATGGGGTGTGAACCGACAGTCTGTAGAGTTTTCCATCTGGTGTGGGTGAGTGATAGTCTACTTTGATTTTGGTTAAGGTGGATTATCACTTACAGTGTAATCAGTGAGGGGATTCTACAG